ACTACCATGGCCTCCACCAGACTGAGTCCAGTACAACTAGATGGTGCCTGGCTACCACCACTGACTGCTCTGACAGGGATCACAACAGAGGGTCCCAGACAGAGCTGGAGAAAAACATAGAACAAAATTCTAACTCACAAAAAAAGACCAGACTTACTGGCCTGACAGAGACTGGAGAAACCCCGAGAGTATGGCCCCGAGGCACCCTTTTAGCTCGGTTAACCGTTCAGTGAAAGTCTGGACAGCCCATAAAACAAAACGAGGCTAATCGGGCACAACAGTCCAGGGGCAAGGACTAGAAGGCAGGAGAGGACAGGAAAGCTGGTAATAGGGAACCCAAGCCTGAGAAGGGACAGTGTTGACATGTTGTGGGATTGTTAACCATTGTTGTAAAACAATACGTGTACTGTTTAGTGGGAAGCTATTTGTTCTGTAAACCTTCATCTAAATTACAATTTTAAAAAAAAAAAGGAAAAAACCTCTACCCTCATATCCTAATAAATGAAGGCATGTATAAAGAAACATATAATTAAATATACTAGCATAATATGTAAGTTAATAAGATTTGATGTAAGTATATAATCAAATATATAAATACAGCAATATATGGATAAAGAGCCCTGGTGTCGCAGTGGTTAAGAGTTACAGCTGCTAATCAGAAGGTCAGCAGTTTGAATCCACCAGCAGCTCCTTGGACACCCTATGGGGCAGTTCTACTCTGTCCTGTAGGGTTGCTCTGAGTCAGAATCAACTGGAGAGCGGTGGGTCAGTATATGGATAAATACATTTATCATAGTAATGATGATATAAACATATGAACCATTTGTGTAACTTTGCCACTGTAGTTCAGTTGTGCTTAATGATAAATTTGACATATGCAAAAATAAAATTTCACTCTTTTCTTTGACTGGTAGAAAGCAAACAGATCAATCTCATCATGGATTATGCCCTGTTTCTTGCATTAATCAGCTTTGTAACCTTAGGAAAGTAGTGTAATCTTCTGGGCTTTTGTTTCATATTCTTTCAATTGGAGTTAATAATCCCATCTCATAGGATGATTATTACCAAGAGACATCCCTTTGAACAGTGAGGTTTTTTTAAATTGTTTTTAAACCTTACACAGATGTATCTGGAAACCCTGGTGGCGTACTGGTTAAGAGCTGTGGCTGCTAACCAAAAGGTCAGCAGTTCGAATCCACCAGGCACTCCTTGGAAACCATATGGAGCAGTTCTGCTCTGTTCTATAGAGTCGCATTGAGTCGGAATCACCTTTATGGCAGTGGTTTCTTTTTTACAGATGTGTCATTGAGTATAGTGATTTATAGCCCAGAGGTTAAAAAGTAGATTCCTCCCCCTTATGCCATTCTTGAAGTATGGTGAGTCACATTTTAAATTTTATTTTTGTCTTATGCTGTTGCCAGAGTTTATCAGACCCAAACAATTACCATGAGTTTTGCAGACTACTGGCTCGATTGAAAAGTAACTATCAACTGGGAGAACTGGTAAAGGTGGAAAACTACCCTGAGGTCATCCGATTGATAGCCAACTTCACAGTGACCAGCCTACAGGTTTGTCTTTGATTGCTTGTCCCTTTCTTACAAACATTAGAATCCGTTTTCTCTTACTCATTGATTTTAACCTTGTAAGGATATTCTTTAATTTTTTTTCTTGGCAAAGGTGAATATAAGTGTAGGGTAACCCTGCAGAGTAGTTACGTTTGTAGCCTATTCATATGCATTTACAAAAATGCGAGGAGTATGGTTAGAGGAACATGTGGGAATTATAAGGATAATATTTAGATTCAAGGCAGAGAGAATTCTGTCATAATTATCCCTAAAAAAGGCAAGATTCGAACAGGGAACTGGACAGAAGAGTAAAAAGAAGAGCCTCCTTTCTTTGTTCATCATGTAATAATAGGGCAGAAGTTCTCAAACTTTATGGCTTGCATCAAAATCATGCAAGGAACTTGATGAAAAATACAAGCGCTTGAGTTTTACCCCATAATTATCGATTTAACAGATCTTGGGTGGAGCCCAGGCATCTGTATTTCTAACAACTTTGCCAAGTGATTCCGATGCATACTAACATTTGAGAGCCACTTCCATAAGGCTTCCCTTGTGGTAAGGTTTACACAACCAGGTTAGAACAGCTCTTCTCATTAGATGATTATTGTCTGAAATGCTTAATAAACATTAAACTAGTTGCCACACACAGAACAAAGCCCATAAAAGTTTATCCTTTAAAAAAAAAGTCTTTATGCTTTGTATTGAGTGGCATGGGACTGATGTATTGTGTACAAAAATGAAAACTATGCCTTCTGCTCTTTTGATTTTACTTAGCACTGGGAATTTGCCCCAAATAGTGTGCACTATCTCCTGAGCCTATGGCAGCGGCTGGCAGCCTCCGTGCCATACGTCAAAGCCACAGAGCCCCACATGCTGGAAACGTATACTCCTGAGGTCACCAAAGCCTACATCACATCCCGCTTGGAATCTGTGCACATCATACTGAGGTAAGGGACCCGGGGCAGCCTCCTTCTTTACCCCACCAGTAGCCTAGTGCCAAACTCACCAGAGGTCAGACACCCAGTTGAGTCTTATTGGATCTAATACTGTTAATGGTTATTTTTCCTTGTCAGCAGAATAGCAGATGAGAATGTAAAGTCTGAGAGTCTTTAACATCCTATTCATGCCCCACTTTGTTACCATCAATAGCAATAACTTTGAGTATAAAGTTTATATAATCAGTATACAGTAAATCAGTATAATGTTTGTCCTTGGCACTGGTTTTCTTTAAATGTGAGAGAAACATTTATAGGACATAGGTGATAAGAATTATAATGTGTAAGTTATAGGTGCTTAACGTGAACTCCTAGAGAAATAAGTAGATAAATAAAATCACACAATCAAGTTAATTATCAACTCTAATTCCAGAGCGTCCTAGAAAACATAAGAATTTTATTAGGCAGCTGATCACTGATTCAATCACTGATCTAATCCATGAAGCACATGGTTTCTGTTCACCTTAACTGTTAACTGGACCAGAAACCTGTAGCTAAAGAAATGTCAGACCCTTTTAAAAAGGCTTTTATATAAAGTGAAGGTATTCTTTGTTTAGGGACCTTTGGTATCTGTTTTTTTCATTGGCTGTTCCTCAAGGGAATTTACTCTTTAAGGTCTGGTTTTTTTATTTTTTTTTTTTTGTTGTTTGTTTTTTTAATAGCTTGGGTTCTTAATTTGCTCAGAGTTTAGTGCCATTAGTTGTCACAGAGATAGCTCTAGTCTTAACGATTTATAACTTGAATCATTTCAAATTCTAAGTAATCCTGAGGTTCACTGAAAAGGATTGTTCTGTTACTAGCTCCAGAGCCCTGATGGCACAGTGGTTAAGAGCTCGACTGCTGACCAAAAGGTCGGCAGTTGGAATTCACCAGCCACTCCTGGGAAACCCTATGGGGCAGTTCTACTCTGTCCTATAAGGTCGATATGAGTCAGACTCGACTCAGTGGCAACAGGTTTAGTTTTTTGGTATTATTAGCTCCATAGTTTCTGTTCCTGAGTAATTAGCTGATTTAATGAGGCAGTGTTATAGACTGGTTAAGTGTATATGGGGGCTCTGGGGCCAGAAAGCCAGTTAGTAGCTGTGTACTCTTAGGCAAGTTTCTCAGTTTCCTTGTTTGTAAAATACAAATAACAATAATAGGCCTACCTCATAAGGCTATTACGAGGATTAATGTGTCCTGGAGCAGCGATCCATGATAACAACACAATATTAACTGCTAGTGGTGGTGGTGGTGGTAGTGCTGCTGCTGCTACTACTACTACTGGCATTGTCATACTACAGCGTGACAGTAGACAGCTTGTAATATGGCAAGACTTTAAAATCTAGGAACCAGTAGATAAGGAAGACCTAGTACAGATCCACAATCCTTCATCTCCAATTGTTAAATTTAAGAAAATGTGAAAGCTAAATTTCCTCATCAGTTTGGCACCAAAACTTATTTGGTGGTAAAATTTGACATAAACTGATATGAGACCATTTATAGTATTGTTAATCCTATTAGTATGATCATTCATAATATTCATGCATTTTGCTACAGAAATGTTGTGTTTGCTGCCACCTCAAAGCCCATTGAGGGTTTTACATAGCATAGTAGAGGCATCATATTTCCCTCTTTTAATCTGCAAATTTCTGAATTCCAAAACACATCTGGCCCCAGTGACTTCACACAACAGATTGTGTACTTGTAGTAAGTCCCAAGTATATTATAGTCAAGAAAAGCTAAAGACTCAGAACCAAGAGCTCATAAAGGTGAGAAGCATGGGGCTGAGAGGATCAAGACAGACAGATGTTAAGAGACTGATAATTAGGATATACCAACAAGCAGAATATACCCAAGGGAGACTGATGCTAGGGTGAAGACATCTGCCTTCCAACTGTTTTTATATCCCTTCCCTGGTAAAAAGTCGTGTCAGGATGTGTGGCTTCTAGGATTGGAAATGGTGGCTATAGCTGATTAAGAAGAATTATTTGCTGCGTTGGGGAAGTCAGTGGCCATGTTTTAAGAGAACTACCATCCTTCTTCCCTGGGGAGCAGAGATGGGCTGGAAGATCCTCTGGAAGATACAGGCCTGGTCCAGCAGCAGTTGGACCAGCTGTCTACAATTGGGCGTTGTGAATATGAGAAGACATGTGCACTCCTCGTGCAGCTGTTCGACCAGTCGGCCCAGTCCTATCAGGAGCTGCTACAGAGTGCCAGTGCAAGCCCTATGGATATTGCAGTGCAGGAAGGTAAGTGTACAGTGCTTTTACCTTGAACTCTAGACCTGTAAGGAGATGCTGTCAAACCCCTTCACTCATTGCCACCTTTCTTTTCTACCTCTCCCTCAAAAGAATTCTTTCATCGTCAATTACCTCCATATACACACACACACAAAAATGGTGAATAAATATTTCAGGGGACTAGGGAAGAGTAACTAAAATCATACATGCAATGAGTGTTTTTAACTCAAAAAGTATTGTTGTTAGTTGCCACCGAATCGATTCCAGCTCATGATGACCCCAGGTGTGCAGTTCTACTGCTCAATGGGATTTTCAGGGCTGTGACCTTTCAGAAGCAGATTGCCAGGCCTGTCTTCCAAGGTGCCCCTGGATGGATTCAAACTGCCAACCTTTTGGCTAGTAGTCAAGTGCTTAACTGTTTGCACCACCCAGGCATTCCCTAAGAAAGTACTGCACCTCAAAAATAATGATCTTGTCTGAAATAGGAATAGGAATTCTAATGAATTTCCTGCTTGGTATCACCGTTTTACCAGAACAGAGTGTGGGTCTACTATGGGGCTGTTAAGATTAAGGAAGCTCATAGTAAGAATTAACCTCATAGGAGTAATTTCTTCATGAAATTATCACTGGAGATGACACTAATGGATCTTCTTTCTGTTTCAGGAAGGCTGACGTGGCTGGTTTACATTATTGGAGCAGTGATTGGTGGCCGAGTGTCTTTTGCCAGTACTGATGAGCAAGATGCTATGGATGGCGAGCTTGTCTGTCGGTAAGTGCTCCCCACAGAGGGTTTCCATTTCATTGCCATGCCCACTACCCCTTTCTTTGAGTCCTGCAACCATGAGGACTTGACATGCTTCTGTTGATGCTTTTCTCCCATCTACAGAATAGAACCTTACAAAAGTGATGATAGCCCATGGAAATGAAGGATTGTTACAGGTCCAACTTGAAGCCTTTTATAAGTATAGCAAGAATTCTGCCTGAGAGTCTTACTTTTTAAGAAAGCATTTACTGTAATTCTGTATAGAAATGATGGATAGAGAATTAGAAAAACCAAAGTGGGTAATAGCTTTTAGTTCTGTTTAAGGACATTGTCTCAGAATTAGTGGAATGTGGTCTGCTTTTGTCAAACCAAAATAAGTCTAATAGAAAGTTATGGTTCTTCTTCAAATGTCCCCAAAGACTGAATTACAGATTTCCAGTAGCCTTTCAAATCTCTTGGCCGTATATTTTTCCACGTACAGAATTTCAAATTGTTTGATGTCTGTGTAATTCTCATCTTATCAAAAACCTTTAAATAAGCATTAAAGTTCTTCAGAAACTTAATATTTCTGAGTTGAAGGGAGGAAAAAAATAAAACAATTAGTGATTTCCAAAAAATTTACCTAACGTAGAAATAAAAAGGCAGATTTTTTTTTTAAATCTTCTTATTTTTTTTATTGTGCTTTAAGTGAAAGCTTACAGATCAAGTTAGTTTCTCATACAGAAATTTATACACACATTCTTATGCGACCCTAGTTACTCTCCTATACTGTGACAGCACACTCCTTCTTTCCACCCAGATATCCCATGTCCATTCAACCAGCTCCTGTCCCTTTTTGATGGCAGATTTTTTTAATATCCTGAAGCAGAAGTTCTTAAACCTTTTGGTCTCAGGACCACTTTACCCTCTTAAAAATTATTGAGGATCTCAAACAGCTTATGTTTATTGGATTATACCTATCGATATTTACCATACTAGAAATTAAAATTGAGAAATTTTTTAAATATTTATTAATTCATTTTAAAATAATAATAAACCCATTAAATGTTAAGAAGTATTTTTGTGAAAAAAACTGTATTTTCCACAGAAAAATTAATGAGAAGAGTGTCTTTGTTTTACATTTTTACAACACAGCTGGATTCTCATATCTGCTTCTACATTCAGTCTTTTCTGGTATCACAGGTCTCGTAGCCTCTGGAAAACCCCACTATACCCTCATGTGAGAATGCAAGTGGAAAGGGCAAATAATATCTTAGTAGGTATTATGAACATGGTTTTGTGACCTTGGCAGAGAACTGCTTCCCTAAAGGGTTCTAAACCTTCAGATGCTTTCCTTAGAGATGAACACATTTAAACTTTTAATACCTTATAATTTGGTGGCACAATGGTTAAGCACTCAGTTGCTAACTGAAAGGTCAGTGGTTTGAACCCACCAGCCGCTCTGCAGGAGAAAGATGTGGCAGAATGCTTCCGTAAAGATTATAGCCTTGGAAACCCTATGGGGCAGTTCTACTTTGTCCTGTAGGGTCGCTATGAGTCGGACTCTATTTGACAGCAACAGGTTTTGAAACATCTCACTTAAAGATTGAGCTATAATTCTGATTCTTCTTCTGAAAATCCCATTTGTCTCTTTTCCATCCCTTTTTTCTTTATCAGATGCCCATTTGCTCATAGGTGCCTTAGTCCTAACAAAAATCTCTATGGCGTTATGCCATTGGCATTTTTTGAAGGGTTCAGCAAAGATGTAATAAGGATGAAAATCTGATACTTTTCTGATTCTGCAGCTTGGTGTGATACTGTGTATGTGTCATAATGTAAATTGAGAGTTTAGAACATTGTCTTGTTGACTGGTTCTCAGCTTGAGTATTGCAACACAATGATTGAGTCATGATATATCACAAATAGTTTGTTACCTATTCCCACAGTATGTAAATGTCAAATGACTCACTTGTAATAACATCATTCTTATTCATTCAGCATCCACTCACTTGGATTCCAATATGCTTTCTTTTGAGGGGGATGCCACAAACAAAAAAGGGATGAAGTCACAGCTAGTGTATCTGCTATTTGTCCTGGAAGTGTTCCCTGCCTGTGAACATCATCTTTCACGTGTCTCCATTCTTTTCATGGCTCTGTAGGAAAAAAGATTGAGAACCACTGGTCTAGTCCAATCCCTCATTTTATAAAGAGGAACTTGAACTCAGAAAATAAACTGCTTTATCCAAGGTCTCAACAGAAGTTTCAAGAAAGTCCCATTACCTCTCATACCAGTGTTTTTTCACTATTTTTTAAGCCGATCAGGAGTTTTGCCTCAACCTGTAGTCTCAGTGTATTAGAAGTATCAAACGTCTAACCAGTCACTCCCCTGCATGGTTCCTGTGAGGCAGAAACGAAGAGAATTTTGTCCCCTCAACAGAGTTTAGAGTCTGCAGAGAATGCCTTTCCCATAGGATGGGTAAGGAGAGGAGGCATGTATGACTATTCTGGGGTAGGTTGGATTTTCTAGAGTGACCAGGATATCCTGCTGTTGAGAGAAATCATTGCTCCTCTTCCTCTAGGGTGCTACAGCTGATGAACCTAACAGATTCTCGCCTGGCTCAGGCGGGTAATGAGAAGCTAGAACTGGCCATGCTGAGCTTTTTTGAGCAGTTTCGTAAGATCTACATTGGGGACCAGGTGCAGAAATCCTCTAAGGTAACAGAGACTCTCAGTTGGCTCCAGTTAGTTCTCACTTCTCACTTGTGGAATTGCTGATTGAGGGAGATGGTTCTTAACACGTCAGATGCAGCTTCCAGATCTTAGGTATCAGGATAGTCAGGTATCTCCTCTTAGTCTTTAGGATTCTGGGAGACTCATCAAAGAACTGGGTCCATTTCTCTAGTGCTTCATATGCTTAACAGATGGCCAGTCAGAACATCTGTTGTTCCTCCCCCAAAATTGGCAATTCTTAGTCTCAATACAGGAATGTATGTTCAGAACACCAGAAATTCTTTTTGTAATTTCAGGGTTGAAGAGGGCCAGTAAGGTAGCTCAGCATCGATCCGGTATTCTTTAATACTTAGAAATTAGCTCATCCTTCAGTAAAGTCTTCCCCAGCATTGTTGCCCATTTTCTTCCCACCTCTTTCCCCCTGAATGTGGACAAAAATAGTACTGGGGTATGATTGTTCTAATCCTTATTTCCCGGTTACTTTCTCTTCGTTTAACACAACACCAGCTGTATCGCCGACTCTCAGAAGTTCTGGGCTTGAATGATGAGACCATGGTCCTCAGCGTCTTCATAGGAAAAATGTAAGTGTTTTACTTGCCATCAGCAAGAGTCCCTTGCAATTCTGTTGCAACTGTAAAATGTGATCTTGGCATTGTTCTGCCAGTGCCTTGGTATTCCAGCATTGATCGTTTGCGTCAGAAAATTGTGCATTTGAGTGTGTGACAAGCTGTGCTTAGAGATATGGCCCGGCCCCAGAGCATTCCAGGCATGTACAGGCAAGGATTTAATCGTGTTCATGTGGAATCCCATCTTCAGCCTCTGGAATCACAGGTGAAACCCCTGTCAACAGCATTAGCAAAACGGACCTGCCTCCCCAGTGATTGGTGAACATCCTCTCACCTGTTCACCATGCTGCCAGGGATGCCCAGAGGAGGTATTCACTTCCTGGTGCTGACTGGCACTAGCTATGCCCCACAGGAGGAGAGCCCCACTTTAAAACAGGCTTTTTCCTCTCAAGAAGCATCACCTTTTGGGAGTCTTGAGTCTCTAAAACCTAGTGCTATTGTTTGAACTGTCTGTAAAGTTGAATTTCCTGATTGGCCCTTTTTCTTTTAAGTTATGCTCTTTTGGTTACTTTTTAGGAGCTCAATTTATTAAAGCACACACCCGAAGCCAAATATATTACCCAGGGCTGTGTGCAGAGTAACATTTTGCCTCCTTGCAACTCAACTATCCCAGCGCTAAACACTCATATCCAAGAGCTGGTTAATAATTTAAGATAAATAAAGTAAAGGGGGTCTAAAGGACTCTCCCAGCCAAGAATCCAGAAGCAAGGGCTACTAGAATTCTGCAGCTGACAGTGGATGGTGCAGGTGCAGAATTGCATACGTCTGCATGTTATCACTGCCGCAGAAATCTCTTACCCTTGCTGCAGAAATCAGCCCTGGAGTGCCCCAGAATTCCAAGGGCCTGGGTATGGGCCAGTGTAGCTTTGGAACCAAGTAGTGAAGATTATCTGAAGGATAATTTTTCTAGTCAACCAAATGTAAGTACGGAGATTTTATACCCATTTTTTGTGGTTGTGATGTCTGTGAATTGGTGATGGAGGTGTGTGGTGACTTTTGATGGATGATTTTCTTCTTCTCTCAACCCTCAAGGAAACCAGGGAAATCAAAAGTATCTTTTGCTTTTTTTTTTCTTTTTGTCCTCCAGCATCACCAACTTGAAGTACTGGGGCCGTTGTGAACCAATAACCTCCAAGACACTACAGCTTCTCAATGACCTCTCCATTGGATATCCTTTTCTAAGATAGCTTCTGTGGACAACAGACTTTGTCATGCCATAGTATAGAAATCATGGCTTCTTGCTGTTCCCACTTTCATTTCATTTTGGTGTGTACTCAAGTACTTTACATTTTCCAGTGAGCCAACACACAACCTAATAGTTTACTATAGATTTTTCTCTGGCTGTTCCTGCAGTCTAGATATTTCATAGCCAACAGATATGTTTCATAGGTATATACACTCTGTGTAGCCAAGAGTTCAGCATCTTTAATGGTAGCAGAGTCCTTCGTGATTCGTCCTATCAGCTGATTGGTAGAAGGATTCTAATTAGTAGCTTTGCCATAAAAGGAGTGAGTACACTTCCTTTTGACTTGGATTACCCATCATCATCGAGTCAATTCCGGCTCATAGCAAGCCTATAGGACAAAGTAGAACTTCTCCATAGGTTTTCCAAGGAGTGGCTGGTGGATTTGAACTGCTAACTTTTGGTTAGCAGCAGCCGTAGCACACCATAGCTCTTAACCGCTGCGCCACAAGGGCCCCTGACTTGCATTAGGTCTGCTATAAAGTTTGAGTGCAGCCTTTCACAACCAGGGTTATGCAAGTGAATTGAACCTTATGAAAATTATTTAAGTGACTTTTTTTCTCAATTCTCCCAAAGATTATACAATGTAACTAGTACAATTCTGAAAATATAGGAAAGAAGTCATTACACACAATGGATGCCTTAGGCAGGGTATTAGGACTTAATTCTCTCTTGAAACCTCTGTTGAGAAAAGATACCCTAGGATATCCATGATTCTTGGGGAAAACTACTGGGATTTATCTGTTTTCTTACAAATAAGAGTTTGGTATAGGTATTCTCTTATTGATCAGTTAAATACTGCTTAGAAGAGAACAGATTTTTTCCTACTTGGCAGTGGTACACTCAGGCAGTTAAGAAAAATAAGATACTTGGGTGTGGAATTCAAAGTAAAGAAATAAACTATTCTTTATCATCCTGGAAAGTTTCAATTTGTCTTAGATATTCTTAGTTTGCTTCACACTTTCCTTGACCTTCTCCCTTTGTCTTCACATACAGTAGTGTAAGGAAACTAGTAAAGCTTAGTGCGGTACAGTTCATGCTGAACAATCACACGGTGAGTAATTTTACCCCGTCTTCCTGGTTCTAATCTCCAGCCACATATACACGTACACACACACACTTTCTTAGTACATAAAGTAGATTTTTAAATTGAGGTCTTGGTGCTACTGCAGTGAAATACTGTGTTCCCTAACCCATATCACATTGCCAGATTATAAGTTTTTCCCAGAAGTTGATCTGCCATATTACACTTACTGCCATCAGAGCTGTTCTTTGGGATCCAGATGATCTGAGTTATGGTGAAGTCACTTACTACTACATTCATACCTCACATGAATGACTTGTAGGTATGAACAACAATAATGGGAAAAAAATACCCCTCAGATCCTTAAGGAATGACCCTGTGGTCATTAGCTTGAGAGAGGGCTCAGTAATTCCTAAATTACTGGCTTGCATTCTACCTCTAATCCATGTTTTTACCTTTTTAACTTGTTTTCTTTTTTTCAATAGAGCGAGCACTTTTCATTTTTGGGTATTAACAATCAGTCCAACCTGACAGACATGCGGTGTCGGACTACCTTCTACACAGCACTTGGGCGTCTCCTCATGGTGGATTTAGGTACTGCAATAAATCCTAGAGGCTCATGAAGTAATCTGGCACTGTTCTAAATTTTTATTTGAAGACAGAAAACTAGATGTGGGGGAAGTCTTCTGTTATTTCAACAGTAACAAAACTATCTGAAATAACAGCCTGATTTTGCCAAGAACAGATCGTGCTATCATGGTCCCTATAACTGGAGGACATGAATAACAACATGCTTCTGAAGTTTTTATCTTATATGCAGTAGTTTTAGAATTCCATCCATTACCTCATCTGTAAAATAAGAGGATTTAGAATTGAGGTTCCTAAATTCTTCTCATTGGCCAGATAAACCCCACCCCATGTTGAGGTGTAACCCCTCTGAGATGGTCAATAAAACTTTATATAACCCAGTTTACTAGCACATATCAATCAGGAGGGCTTACTCACCTTTCTAGCTCTTGTGATATTAACAGTTTTGGGTCAACTAATATTGAAGCTCAGTGTTATTATCATAGTTTTGAGCTATTTAAATTTAGTCCTATTAAGATGACATCATAAAACCTTCCAGGTTTATGAAGGGTTGGGGGGGGGGCCAGGGGGGTATAAATAGAGCCTCCACAAGCACCTGACTCAAGTTCAGATCTCATCTAGTTCTCATATACCAGACTCAGTCCTTTCTCAACTGGCTGTATAGTTCTCCCTTAAGGAAAAATAATACATTATACACATATGAATTTCTGACATTGTGGCCCATTATCGAAAAAAGTAGGACATTCCTGGACTAGATGATTTCTGTAGTTTTCTAGTTTAAAAATTCCTGTTTCTATTTATACACTTTACTCTTACATTACTACTAATACCTGTTGGAATAATAAAGGGACCCCTTTAAATTATTCTTGGGTCGTTCACCTTTCATCCCATCTTATTTTCCACGCTTACATATCTTTGAATATTTGCTTTTGGGGTCACACCTTGGGTTGTTTCCCTTACAGGAGAGGATGAAGATCAGTATGAGCAGTTCATGCTGCCACTCACAGCAGCGTTTGAGGCTGTGGCCCAGATGTTTAGCACTAATAGTTTCAATGAGCAAGAGGCAAAGGTGAGTCCTTCACCCACTGATCAACTTCTGGTTGAGGGCAATCCCTGGTAGAGACTGGATTAGCTAGTGCTGCAGAAAATGGTGCTTATCCATAAACTAACCACTGGTTTAGCTTTTTGTTTAATCTCTTCGTCTTCTGGAATTTTGAAATAGAAGGACCAGTATAGATTTATAGACTCTTGTTTTATGTTAAAGGTATACTCCTAAGCAGCTCTTAGGATTTGATACATAACATTTTCATTATCATTCAGTTCATTGTGTTTTCTAATTTCCATTAAGATTTCTTCTTTGACACGAGTCATTTAGAAGGGTTTTTTTTTTTAATTTCCATATACATGGGATTTTAAAGTTACTTTTTAGCAGGGCTTTGAACCAGGAAGTTATACATAAAGAATCACCAGGGGATCTTGTTAAAATGTAGATTCTGATACAGTATATCTGGGGTGGAAATGCAAATTGTCAGCAGGGAACTTGTTAGAAATGCAAATTCTCAGCAGGAGTTCAAACCGAACTGAAGCAGTTTAAAGCCCTGCTTTTTAGTTACTGATTTTTAGCTCTCAGAATTGTCATTCTTTTTACTTCACACATACCTGCTCTCTATGCCAAAATCAGAAGACGTTAGGATATTAATATTTGTAGGACTTTTTGCAGTGTTCTCAAGGACACTGAGGCTGAATGGTAGATCCACCAAATAGCCAGAGGTATTGCCAGAAAAAAATACCAGGCTTTACCTCACATTCTAAAGTTCTCCTTCTCTTTCATCTTTAGAAAAAAGCCCAAGTCAGCAGGGAAATCAGATAGCAACATCACTTTGTCTAACTCTCTCTCCCCCTTCTTACTTGTGTTTTGGAGTCTGAGGTGTGTACCATTCAGAGGTAGAGTTGTGTATAACACATAAACTTAGAATATCAACCAATATCTATGACTTAATTATGGGATATCAGTGACTATCAGCCGTTTTCCCCATCACATTAGTTCCATACAAAGCAAATAAAATTAACAAAAATAACCACCTGGGCCATGGAATACAACCGTCACCCATATCTTTGGCAAGCTCCCTGTAACAAGTCTTTTATATTGACCGTATCTTAGATGTGAAAACTGAGCTTATGGTATCAGCTTAGGAATAAAACTATTTGCTTGAAACAAGCTGTTAGAAGGAGTACAGTAGTTTTTGACAAATGAGTCAGGACACCAAATGTGCTACCTCCTTGAGCATATTGATGGCCATTAGCTTTTAATAGCAGTCTTACAGGGCCAACAAATAAAAGTTTTATTAAGGAAGAGTGGTGACAGAATAGATAATGGATTTGGATTCTCAGTGCTTTGAGTCCTAATCCTGACCCTTCTACCACCTAGCATCATGATGTTGGGCGAGTTATTTGACCTCTTTAGGCCTTAGCTCTTTTTCTGTAAAAGGAGAGCATAGTATTTTCTCACTCTAAGATTAGACACTTCAGTCTTATTTGTAGATGCACCAAGCAGAGGAACGGGTACCAACTAGATTCCCCTCTTTGTCTTCCTTCTGGTAGGGTCTGCATTTGAGTTCCTTTGATGTTGATGCCTTTGTGTAATTAGGTACAGTACTAGGCCTTTAACTGATGTGGCTCTTCTACCTCTTGTATGAATGGGTTTTCCACTTTTTACATATGATTTTATCACTTTAATGTCATAAAACTTTATCAGCCTCTGCTTATGCTGTGATTGGCGAGGAACCATCCCGTTTTCTTAGTATAACAAGCTTCTAAAACTAATTTTCAAAGTGAAAAGATTTCATTCTAGCATTGAAGATAATGATTCAGAATATTTGGGGAGGAGTAGGTCACTATGAGTTAGAATCGACTCATCATTAACAGGTTATTTGTTAAAATCATGGGCAGAAGAATTTGGTTACAGATATGAGAAATCCCCCATCAGGTGGTTATAGGCTTTGTTTTTCTTCTATTTTAACATATTTCTGTCTTCTACTACAGAGAACCCTAGTTGGCCTAGTAAGAGACCTGAGAGGGATAGCTTTCGCCTTCAATGCCAAGACCAGCTTCATGATGCTGTTTGAATGGATGTATCCTGACTCAAACTGGGAACGTACCACAGCAAGCCTAAACTGGAATGTGAATCTGTGATGGAGTCATTGGGGAAGGAGGAGGGGAAGAAGGTGTGATGAGGCAAAGAAGACAGAGTTATCCAAAAGGCCTGCCACATATGTCCTGTAAACTGCCACTCCATAGGTCTCTAATGACATAATGTCTGCTTTGGTCATTGAGATTGAGAAATGAGAGGTAGTTTCCAAATTTCACTTTTGGGTCCCAGATAGAAATACCTATGAAACTATACCGTGTGAACTATTGCACATGTATTTTGCTACACTTAGAGACGGTTGTAGCTAAAAAAGACAGCTTTACTAGGAATTAGGAAGTTTAATCTTATTACTGACTTCATAACCTTAATCAAATCATTTAAAATCTGAGTGCCTGTTTCTCCAATAGTTATTAAAGGAAATAGCTGATTCCTTACATCATAGAAATGGTGAGAGGATAAGTAACCATCTGAAATATGTCAGGCTCTTTGGAAGAAAGGCATTGTGTAAATTAAAATGTACAATAGATTCCTATTACAGGTTATGGAGCCCTGGTGGTACAGTAGTTAAAGCTCTCGGCTGCTAACTGAAAGGTCAGTGGTTCGAACCCACCAGCTGCTCTGAGGAAAAAAGATGTGGCAGTCTGCTTCTGTAAAGATAACAGCCTTGGGAACCCTATGGGGCAGTTCTATTCTGCCCTGTAGGGTCGCTATGAGTCAGAATCGACACAACAGCAGTGGGTTTGGGTTTTTATTACAGGTTAAAGGACACACAGTTACTTTAGCATCTTTGGGTTGGAAAGACCTCAAGATTAGCAAGAGAGAAGAGACAGGAAATGAGAGAGTTGTAATTGGATAGTTTATGCTTGGCTAGTGCTGAGTAATTATTTTAAATTCTGACCCTTTCTGGATTCAGAAATTCTTCCTTAGCTTCTCACTTACAGATATCCATCCTACATGCCAATTCTCCAGCGGGCAATTGAGCTGTGGTACCATGATCCAGCCTGTACCACACCCGTGCTGAAGCTGATGGCAGAATTAGTTCATAATCGGTAAGCAAGAGGAAGACTTTCAGAGGGCACAGCTGCCCTTTTCTCTGAGAAAGGCCTAAGAGAACTTGCTTTATCTAGTTTCTCAGGCAGATTGTGGAAGATAAAGAAGATTCACTGCTATTAAAATTTGGAAACCTATCTTTATGTGTGTATGTTTTTGTGTTTGAAATAGCAGTATAACCAAAGGAAGCCTAGCAGCTTGCAGGAAGGAAACCACTTTAAAAAGAGTCTCGAGGTATCCATTCGTATGAGAAGTGAATTTGGCAACCAAGATTCTGGTTTCCCTTTCCACAGATGTCAAAGTTAACGTTTGGCAGTGGTGCCATACCCATCACATTTAGATAGACAGTGACACTTGAGAGTGATACGGGATGTAGCAGAATACCATTTCTTAAGAAATGTATTCATGAGGCAAATTGCAGCTGGATCAGTAAAAATTTACCTGAGAAGAAAGCAAGAAAGATTTCCAATGTACTAAATTTTAGACTTACCCAACAGAACCAGCACCTTGGCTCTGCTGGAATTTTTGATATGTGCATCTGCCTCGCGTGGGACTCCTGAGAATTAATAGTAAAACTACCTTAGTTAGGGGGAGTGAGTAACATTCAGAGGCTATAACCTCCCACAGGGTTTATATTCAAGAGTTATTTATAAAACAGATTTGGGCCTATCTACTCATTGCCAAGCACCTTCCTAACTACTGTGCCAGAAAAATCTCTGCCCTCTTGGATGTTGCAGTCTGTGGGGAAGACAGACTATAATAATAAATAAAATACAGAAGTATCAAACAGTGATTAGTACTGTGAAAAAAAAATTAAAAAAAAACAAGGTAATAGAGTAGAGAGGAACTTGATGAACAGCGTCAAGGAAGGCCTCTCTGGGGTGATATTTAAGCTGGGATCTGAATGACAAAGATGCTGGCAGTCTTGCAGAGACAAAGGAGAAAGAGTGTTCTAAACAGTAACAACTGCAAGAGTCCTAAGCTGGGATGAGTTTGCTGGGACCTTGAGACAGAAAAATGCCAATGTGGATGAGGGGCCATGGTAGACAGTGAGCCAGAGAGGTGGGCAGTGCTGGGTCATGTGGGGCCTAGTGTGGTAGCAGTGAGAAGTGTGCCTTTATTCTCATGGTGGTGGGAAGCTACTGGATTATTTTAAGCAAGAAATTAAATGATCTCTTTTATATTTTTAAAAGGCATTCTGGCCTGGGAGACTATATAGGAAGTGAATGGATTCAGGGCATATTTTAGAGCTAGATCTTGATAGATGAGATGTGGGGAGAGAAGGAAAGAAGACTCAAGGAGGACTCGTAGGTTTGAAGCCTTACCAACTAGAATCCAGTGAAGCTCATTAAACAATTGAGCAGCAAAAAGGAGGGGGTTCTTGTGTCAAAACTGAGATTGCTGGGGGGAAAAAGTCCAGCCCTGCCTGATTTGTGTTGTAGCATTCCAAGTCCTTTTGCATCTTTACATGTTGTCTTCTTATAAAGCGGCACTATTCCTTGTAACCTTCCCTCCGTTGCAGTGAAGCCATAAAGTGAGATGTAAATTAATGCTCGAAGGATTGCGAGTTAGCAGTAGCAGGAAGTGACTGGCAGAAGCTATACTTTAATCAAATGAAAATGGAGAATTCTAAGAGAGTAATTTTATCTGCTGCCTCCTTTTTTGGTTCCTTTAAATGTTTTTAATTTGAGCAGCAGAACCTGAATCTAGCATGTTGGTCTTCAAAGATACATCACTGACTAAGTATCTGACTAATTTGGTTTCTTTCACACTAGAATAAGTAATCTGCACATCTTAGTGCAAAAAGAATCATCCAAGGTACTCAGATGAGAACCTGAAGTACCCTAGTCTTCCAGCAGCCCATCTCTGACTTCTTCTCCTTCTTCTTCTCTGCTCAGATCTCAGCGGCTGCAGTTTGATGTCTCTTCCCCGAATGGCATCTTACTATTCCGAGAAACCAGCAAGATGATAACAATGTATGGTAAGTGTTTTAGCAGCTGGAAGTGAGTCCCAGCTCAGTCACCACACTGTAAGCAGTGTGTGGATCTCAGGACAACATCCCCATGGGCTTGTTGTATTCCTTATCATTTTGTATTAAGAGTGCCAACTGTCACAAAGGGCCTGCTAGAATTTTTATGCCTTTGAAGTAGGAGGGTTGCGTTATGATACACTTGTTGTTGTTCTATACTGTCAGTCAATTCCAACTCATAGCGACCCCATGTGACAGGAGAACTGCCCCTTAGGGTTTCCTAGGCTGTAATATTTATGGAAGCATATCACCAGGTCTTTCTTCCACGCCACTGGTGGGTTGGAACAGCTGCCCTTTCTATCAGCAGCCCAGTGCTTAACCACTGCACCACCAGGGCTCCTTTGGTATATACTGTCATTTAACAAATACACATATTTGTTAAATATAAATTATATATTATATATCTACTTAGGCAATCGCATCCTGACACTAGGAGAGGTCCCAAAGGATCAGGTCTATGCACTGAAGCTCAAGGGCATCTCCATCTGCTTCTCCATGCTGAAGGCCGCGCTTAGTGGGAGCTATGTCAATTTTGGAGTCTTCCGTCTCTATGGAGACGATGCCCTGGACAATGCTTTACAGACCTTCATCAAGCTGCTTCTCTCTATTCCCCACAGTGATCTCCTGGTAAGCCTTCAGCTTCATTGACAGGATCTAGCCCCTCCTCACGTTCAAACTTTTTTTACCTGAGACCCTGACCGAATGTTTCTGTTGTAAGCTAGATCCTTTGTGCTATAACTAGGTCTTTTGTTTTCCTACCTGGAGGGAACTAAGCTATTTAAGAACTTGTTTCCTGCATGTTAAGGTACTCAATGCCTAACCTGATTTTCTTCCTCCTCTGCTCCCACAGGATTACCCTAAGCTCAGCCAGTCTTATTATTCATTACTGGAAGTCCTGACCCAGGACCATATGAACTTTATTGCAAGCCTGGAACCTCATGTCATCATGTATATTCTCTCTTCCATTTCTGAAGGACTTACTGCACTCGGTAAGCATTTAGGCTTTGTTTGTTTGTTACCACTCAACTAAACTGAAGGGGAGAATCTTGCCCCAGCATCCAACTGGATTATTGCTTTGGGGAGTTGGTTGTCACAACAGAGTACTTAACTCCTGGGTACATTCTCATCCAGCAAACAGTCATTGATCGCTCCTAAGTGCCAGGCACTATGCTGGGCACTAAGGATACAGTAATTAACAACACATAGTTCCTATTCTTAAAGAGTTATTTGTCTGCTGGATGAGACAAGCATCATACTTAAGTACCGCAATGAGGGTGAGTACAAAGTGCTGTAGAAGCCTTCAGGAAGAATATCCAAACTCCTGGTTTTGAGGAGGTGGGTCAAGGATAGCTTGCTGGGAGAATAAGCATTAACACGTTAACATAAAAGCAGAACTAGTGTTAGCTAAGTTAGTGGGGGAGGTTCCTAGCAGCAGGAACAGCAAAGACAAACACCTCTAAGCAAGAAAGAACAAGGAAATGCAGAGGACTGGCATGAGCAGCGGCAGATTTTGAGATTATGAACGGGACCCTTGAGCCATATTACGATACTTAGACTTTATCCTGAGGGCAGTGGAAACCATGGAAGGGTTTCAGGCAGCTGGCTTCGTAAGTTTTTTCATCCTAGTCCAGCTGGTTCCTGTCAACTATTTTGTTTCTAGGCTGCCTTCCAGCAGTGTTATTAAGTGTGTGTGTCCAGAGAATAAGGCATATTTTTATATTAGGCTGAGAAAAATATAAATAGGAAGATTAAGTCAACTGAAAAATAATCATGATATATTGCAAATACACATAGAATGACTTTTGGATTGTCTACTATGGTGACTTAGCCACACCTCTGTGCCACTTCTTTGATACACATTTCCTTCCAGCGGGGTACATAGCCATATCTAGTACAGTCCAGCCAAGGTATCAGACTTTTCTTTGGGAGGCTGTTTTATAGATTCTTGAAAATAGAGGGACCCACAATAGCAAAAAGATGGAAACAACCTAGGTGCCCATCAGCGGATGAATGGATAAACAAATTATGGTATATCCACACAAGGGAATACTACACAATGATGAAGAATAATGATGAAGCCATGAAACATCTTATAACATGGAGGAATCTGGAGGTCATTATGCTGAGTGAATTTAATCAGTCACAAAAGGACAAATACTGTATAAGACCCTATTACGAGAACTCAAGAAAAGGTTTAAACACAGAAGAAAACATTCTTTGATGGTAGGGAGGGTGAGGGTTATTCACTAACTAGATAGTAGATAAGAATCACCTTAGGTGAAGGGAACGACAGCACACACTACAGGGGAAGCCAGCACAACTGGACTAAACCAAAGCTAAGAAGTTTCCTCAATACAATCAAATACTTTGAGAAACAGAGTAGCAGGGATGCGGGGTCTGGGGACCATGCTTTATCGGGGGACATCTAGGTCAATTGGCATAACAAAGCTTATTAAGAAAATGTTCTGCATCCTGCTTTGGTGAGTGGCATCTGAGGTCTTAAATGCTTGCAAGTGGCCATCTAAGATGCATCAATTGGTCCCAACCACCTGGAGTAAACGAGAGTGAAGAACACCAAAGACACAAGCAAAGTGTTAGCCCAAGAGACAGAAAGGGCCATATAAACCAGGGTCTTCATCAGCCTGAGACCAGAAGAACTAGATGGTGCCCGGTTTCTACCAATGACTGACCCGACAGGGTACACAACAGAGTGTCCCGGATGGAGCAGGAGAAAGGTGGGGTGCAGAACTC